AGAGAGAGAGAGAGAGAGAGAGAGAGAGAGAGAGAGAGAAATCAGTCTGAAGTGTGGCCCAGATGGTGATTTCATGGAATGAGCAGAAGGTTGGAGGGTGTGTGAGCATGGGACCCTCTGTATCATTCTGCTGGAAAAGAAAACACTAGCCCAGTAATCTGTCCCTTCTGCTTATTGTGTATTCATCTTCGTCTCTGTATTTAGACCAGGCTTTATGAAGTTTGGTGTCTAAAAGCTTCTTGTAGTCAATAAGAATGATAATGTCTCCCAACTTTGGGGAACTTAAGGGGTTTCATTATGAATAAATACAGCACAGAAGTTGGAGAATTGATATATTAAACCTTGAACTACAAAGTAGATGTGAGCGGCTGGGCACAGTGGTACATGGGCCGGTGGCTCCAGAGGCTGAGGCAGGAGGATCACAAGTTCAAAGCCAGCCTCAACAAAAAGTGAGGCCCTAAGTAACTCAGTGAGACCCTGTCTCTAAATAAAATACAAAATAGGGCTAAGGATGTGGCTCAGTGGTTAAGGGCCCCTGAGTTCAATCTCCAGTACCCCCCACCCTTCAAAAAATGTAGATGTGAAAAAATAGGCAAATGAAAATCAGGTAAAAATTAGACAGAGGAGAAGCTTTATCACCTAATGTTTTTTTAATTCCATATCTGGAGTTTATTGCCCTTCCCCCCAAATAATTTATTGATATATACTTCAGCATCAGATCTGGTGCAAAATGATTTTTATGAAACAACTTCAATTGTCACAAAAACAAAGAAAGTTTTCTTTGTGTTAGTTTTGTTCATATTTCTGATGTCTGTGATCTGAAGATGATGGAAGTAAATGTCAACCTGTCCGGGAACTGGACAGAACTCTCCTTTCGGAGTGTGATATTGTAAATCTCCTTTGCAGTACACCATCAGCCATACCCAATTGGAAACGAGAACTCTGCAGCTCTCAGTCTGGCACTATGATCGATTTGGACATAACAGCTTCCTCGGAGAGGTGGAGATTCCTTTTGACTCATGGAACTTTGAAAATCCATGTGATGAGTGGTTTGTGCTTCAGCCCAAGGTAGGAAAATACTTCCAAATCACTCAAACAGTTATGCAGTCTGGCAAGTTTGAGCAAAATTAATGTCATAGGCCTCCTGAAGAATCTGAAGGCTTCCAGGTTTCCAGTGATAACCTACAAAGATTAGTTGAGCATATTTTGGAATAATATTATCATAAACATTTCAATACCATTGCTCTGAAAACTTCATCAATATAGATTGTCTGATGATGCAAGCTGTATAACCATATATATTATTAGTTTTATTACTAAAAATGCATTCATCATTTGAGGGTCTTCATGGGTAACCATGAAGAATACATTATATGATCCTGTTAGAATGAGGAAGTCTGTCTGGTGTGATGGTGCCTGCCTGTAACCCCAGCCACTCAGGAGGCTGTCACAGGAGGATGGCAAATTGGAGGCCAGCCTCAGCAATTTATCAAGACCCTGTCTCAAAATTAAAAAAAAAAAACAAAAAAAAAAACAAAGGGCTGGAGCAGTAGCTCAATGGTAAAGTATCCCTGGGTTCAATTGCCAGTACCAAAAAAAATAAAATAAAAAGAGAAATTTTTCATTTCACATAGGAAAAAACGAACCTATGGAGCATGATCAATCTCAAAACATTATCTCTGTTTCGCATTCTCTACAGACCATAAACAGAATAGTCTTGCGTTGGTTCAGTTGAGGAAGTAAAACAAAATATCTGGTTTACTGCATTCATACTTTTGAGATTCATAACCTAGGCCTTAAGATAACTCAACAAAAACAAGCTTAGAGTTGATTTTCTAGAAACAAAGCACCAGTATAGTATGCATATTCTTTTTTAAAAATATTTTTTAGTTGTCAAGACTTTATTTATTGTTTATTTTTATGTGGTGCTGAGACTCAAACTAGTGCCTGACACATGCTAGGCAAGTGCTCTTCCACTGAGTGACAACTCCAGCCCATAGTAGGTCATATTGTAATCTAGACCAACAGATCCTTGGATTCACTCTAAGCAACTAGGGTTTCTCTACATTTATAGTAACTTTTAAGTCAAACGAAGAGTAAAAGCCAGGTATGGTGGGTGCACACCTTTAACCTCAGAGATTTAGGAGGCTGAGGATCACAAGTTGGTGGCCAGCCTTGACAACTTAGTGAGGTCCTAAGCAACTTAGCAAGACCCATCTCAAAATAAAAAATAAAAAGGGCTGGGGATGTGTCTCAGTAGTATAGCACCCCTGGGTTCAATCCCCAGTACTTGGGACAGGAGGGCAGGGAGACATAGGGGTTCTTTGAAGATTAGTTTGGAGATAAAAGCAGCATCTTTCCAGCGAATTTTCTGGAATTGATTGAAACACTTTGCTCTCTTAAGACATCTTTTGTGCCTAAGGTCACTGTTTTTCAAGGTAATTGCCTCCATATTACCATAGGGTATTTCCCTTTCTGTCATAAGCAGAAAGCTTCTCTGGGTCTCTCTGAGCTACTGAAGGTAAAAATTCTGATTGTGTTCACTGTCTGAATAAACCATCATTCCTTTGCTAGATCCCTTCAGATTTCTAATGATTCTAGGAGATTACACTCTACAACTTGCACCTGAGACTCTTTTTTAGAAACCTGGCTTCAGACTACTATAACTTTTGCCCCCGTAGATAGTCATTTATTCCTGAGAGGTTTTGTACCCCTGCCATGAGGCAACTCTTAGTAAATAACCAACAGGTGAGGAAGCTTGCAAACCTACTTTCCTTACTGAGAAAGAGAAAAATGCCAAAGTGTTAGTTATTCCCCAGAGCACCTCTGCCACCTCAGGCCAAAGCTGCCTTCCATTGTACCCAGAATTGTACCTGCTTCTCCCACCCCTTCACTGGTGTCTCAAGGGAACACTTCCTTAATAAATCACTTGCATAAGATGCTTTACCTCAGAGTTCGCTGAACCCAAACTGGGGAACCCAAAAGAAGCTAGCGTCTCTAATCCATATCATCATCCTCTGCCAGGCCTACTCATTTAGAAGACACATTTAGAAGAAAGGCCGAAGACTCAGACTTGCTTTGGGGAGGACAGATGTAAAGGCGTGCTCTGTATGTTGAGATGTATGTTAATCAGCTTTTCATGGCTGTGACAAAATACTTGAGATAATCAACTTTTTTAAAAAAGAAGGTTTATTTTGGTTCACAGTTTCATTGATCTGGTTATTTCTGGACCTGTGGTGAGGCAGTACACCAAGGACAAGAGTTTGTGGTGGAGAAGGCCTGTTCATCTCATGGCAGCCAGAAAGCAAAAAGGAGAGACAGGAAGGATCAGGGTCCCAATATCCCTTCCAATGGCATGACCCCCATAACCAAGCTTTCTCCCATTACAACCCTCATCTTGAAGGTTCCCTCCCTCCCAATAGCATCAAAGGCTCGGGACCAAGCCTTTAACACATAGGCTCTGGGGGAACATTCCAGATCTAAACTATAGCAGCTGTGCTATGTGTGGTGGATTATGGGTCAGCTATGTGAAGGGTCACTTTATTCTCAATCTCCTGTCTTACACACTTGGTGCTATAGGCACTCCAACAGCTGCACTTAGGATATGAGCAGCCCTGGAGATTAGATGTTTCTGGTAGGTTATCCATCTGAGGAAGCCAAGCATGAGCTACAAGGACCAACTTCCCTAGTAATGAAGAATTAGAATGAATAGTTCTTAAACATTCGAAAATAGTGACATCCTTTTACAATGGGAATGGCAGAAAACATCCTGCCTTATTGCTTACTGATTCTATGTTGCTGAAAGTCTCTTGGTACCTAGCTTTGTTTGTGTTAGGTCTCAGAAGAAGCCCGTAGGAGGCTGGTAACAGACAGAGAAAGAATTCAAGAAGTCAAACTCAAGTACCATAAAGTAGTTTCACAGTCGAACTTCCATTTTGCCACATGACATGGAACTATTTATTAGCTATAACTCATTATCCTTTTGAAAGGCATGTTAGGGAGGCAGACAAGAAGTGTTTGTCAGTATGAATTGCCTTTCTAGCCTTCCCAGAGGTGCTATTATAAAAATAAGGATTTCTGAAACACGACAGTCTGATTAAGTGGTTTTCCAAGGTAACATTCCTTTTCTGTCTTCAGGCACAGAAGAAATGCAAGTTCTGGAACTTATATTTCACTTTTGCTTTAGCTTTTAACTACATTTAGCTGAAAGACTCTCTATGATTAGCAGTTTGGGCAGACTTTGATCTGTGATTTATTACCCCACCTTATACCTGTAAATGCACTGGAAATTGTTTCTTGCTCCAATGGAAAATGGATCTTTTCTTTTGAGAAAGGAGAAAATGGTGGATGTCGTCTGAATCTTCTTTTTTTTTCTTTTTTTAAATAACTTAATTTTATTTGTTTATTCGTTTTATGTAATTTTTTATATATGACAGCAGAATGCATTACAATTCTTATTACATATACACAGCACAATTTTTCATATCTCTGGTTGTATACGACAGTTGAGTGTATTTTGACATATTATATATACATGGAGTATGACTTGTTCTAATTAGGATTCCATTCTTGTGGTTGTACATGATGTGGAGTTTCACTGGTGGTGTATTCATATATGAACATAGGGAAATTACGTCTGATTCATTCTATGTCTTTCCTTTTCCCACCCCCCTCCCTTCCCTTCACTCTCCTTGGTCTAATCCAATGAACTTCTAGTTCCCTCCCCTCCTTTATGGTAAATCAGCATCCGAATATCAGAAAGAACATTCAGCCTTTGGTTTGGGGTGATTGGCTTATTTCACACAGCATGATAGTCTCTGGTTCCATCCATTTATTTTATTTTATTTTTTTAATATTTTTTAAATTGTTGATAGACCTTTATTTTAGAACCCAGGGCCTCCCACATGCTAGGCGAGTGCTCTACCACTGAGCCACAATCCCAGCCTGACATTAAATTTTCTATGTAGTAGAAGCAAAGAGGACCAGTAGTAGGTCAATTAATAATAAAGTTATAGAAACCCCTCGCATTCAAATACTTGCTCTTGAAGCGTTTTTAATACTTGATTTTTAATAGGAATTCATTTTATGAATTGACAGATAAGTTGTATATAGTTTTCATGTACAAGATGTTGTTTTGAAATATAATAATAATACATTGTAGAATAGCTAAATCGAGATGATTAACACATGTGTTACTTTACATACCTATTTTTATAATGAGAATACTTAAAAATTTCTAGCAAATCTGGGTATGGTGGTACAGTCCTATAATCCCAGCAGCTTGAGAGTCTGAGGCAGCAGGATCACAAATTTGAGGCCAGCCTCAGCAACTTAAGCGAGACCCTAAACAACTTAGTGAGACCCTGTCTCAAAATTAAAAATAAGGGCTGAGATGTGGCTCAAGTGGTAGCGCACTCATCTGGCATGTGTGAGGCACTGGGTTCGATCCTCAGCACCACATAAAAAGAAAATAAAGATATTTAAAAAATTAAAAATAAACAGGATGCAATGACGCATGCCTGTAATCCCAGCAGATTGGGAGGCTGAGGCAGGAGGATTATGAGCTGAAACCAGCCTCAGCAATTTAATATGAGGCCCTAAGCAACTCAGTGAGACCCTGTCTCTAAATAAATACAAAAAAGGGCTGGGGATGTGGCTCAGTGGTTGAGTGCTCCTGAGTTCAATCTCCAGTGCCTCCCCCCAAAAAATAAAAAAAAAAGAAAATTAAACATAAAAAGGACTGGGGATGTGACTTAGTGGTTAAGCACCCCTGGGGTTCAATCCCTGTAAACACACACACACACACACTATATATATATTTTCCTAGCAACTTTTAAGAATACAATACATCACTATTAAAGATAGTTAGCATGTTTGTTGAACTTATGTGATATAAGGATTTAATTTCATTCTTCTGCATGTAAATATTCAGTTTTCCCAACACCAGTTATTGACGAGACTTTCCTTTCCTCTTTGTATGTTCCTGGTACCTTTCTTGAAAATCAGTTAATCATAAAGGTGTGTATTTATTTCTGTGCTCTCGGTTCTGTTCTGTTCCATTGGTCTGTGTGTAACATGCTGGTTTGGTTACTTCAGTTTCTCAATATTTTTCTTGAACATATATTTTACTTTAAAACAATTACCTGTTCATTCATGTGTATATCTTCCATTATTGAAGACAATTTTGTTTGACTATGGGTTTAGTAATTAAAATTCTGGAATATCTTTCTGGAATTAATTTTACCTCCTAATGCATCATTAACAAAAATTTCTCACTTGAGTTTTTCTAAAGCAAAACCAGAATGTATGAACACTTACAGCTGGGCACAGTGGTGCACATTTGTAATCCCAGCTACATGGGAGGCTGAGATAGGAGGATCACAAGTTCAAGGCCAGCCTGGGCAACTTAGAGAGACCCTGTCTCAAACTTAAAAAAAAAAAAAATTAAAAGGGTTGGGGATGTAGCTCAGTGCTAAAATCCCCCTCAGTTCAATCCCCAGTACCAAAACAAACAAACAAAATTAAAAAAAAAAACTCAGAATGGTTTCAAAGTAAACCAAATGCAAAATCTTTCTTAACGTTCATGGTATTTTTCTAATGTTTTCAGCCTTTTTTTGTACCAGGACTTGAACACAGAGTGCTTAACCACTGAGCCACATCCCCAGCCCTATTTTGTATTTTTTTTTTAAGACAGTGTCTCACTGAGTTGCTGAGGGCCTTCCTAAGTTGCTGAGGCTGACTTTGAACTAGCCATCTCCTGTCTCAGCCTCCTGAGCCACTGGGATTACAGGTGTGCACCACCACGTTCAGTTCTTTTACAGTTTTAAGCCCACACCTAAATAATAGCAGCCTTGTTTTAGGATCTTAGGCTCTTCTAAAATATTCAACTTAAATTTTTATAGTAACAGCTTCCTTTTGCACCAATCAACTTATGTGATATCAAATTATATAATGACAGTCACAAATATGGCTAGCAGAAAGAGCTTAGGGGACTAATGCAGTGGACTCTTGGTGAGCATGCCTTTCTGCTCATGGAAGCAGACACAGTGATTGTTGTAGAGATGTTCCTGCTCTTCACTGGGGATGGAGAACATTAATTAATCTGATGAGTCAGTTAATGTGGGTAGATTAATAGAGCTTTTACCACAGATATCTCCTGGATAAACTGAAAGCTGATTCAAAGCAGGGTCTGTGTCTCATGTGTCCCCACAACACTTAGCAAAGTACTTAATAAAAAGTAAGCATTCTGGATATGTTTGTAGAATGGAACTGAATTCAATTTCACTACCTTATTTTGAGCAGGACTTCATTGCAGAAGGGAAATGGTAATATGCCAGGAGAGGGTGTTACCTTGGAATCTTCTAAAAAGAGTACCAAAACTACTCCCCACCTCTCGCAACCCCTTGCCCGCAAGGAAGACGCAACTCAGGAATCTTCTTTCAGCAGTTTATTCAGGCCCTTGATATTTCTTCTACTAATCCCTCGGATGCCCCTCCCAGCCTTAATATAGCATCTCAAGCCCCAATGTGAAGCTGCCACGTGGAACTTTTTCATAGGGTGCTGAAAAACCATGCGCCAACTCTCCCAAATAAGGAGTTGTTTGTCACATACCACAGCGGAGCCAGTGCCATCTTGTAATGGCGACCATAGTCTGCATAAGCGGCAGAGGCGGCTCACCACACCCACCAAGATGTTAGATATGTGTTGCAAGATGACCTTTGCAGTATGTAATTATAATGCTATAAGGCTTCATCTGTATTGTGTTCTACTTTCATAAGACTTGATGTCTATTTTATACAACATCACCAGTATATTTTAATTTAAGCCAAAAAGCAACAGAACTTAACCAATGAGCCATATTCCCAGCCCTTTTTTTGTATCTTATTTAGAGCCAGGACCTCACAGAATTGCTTAGGTAGCCTCTCTAAGTTGCTGAGACTGGATTTGAACTCTGGATCCTCTTGCCTCATCCTTCTGAACTGCTGGGATTACAGCCATCCATAACCACACCGGGATCCAGTTTTTTATTATTACAAATGAAGCTGATAGGAATATTAGTATTCATGTTTCTATGGATATAATTTTTCATTTCTCTGGATTAAATGCCTAAACATTTAATTTCTAAGTTGTGTGGTAGCTGCATGTTTAGTTTTAGGAGAAATTATAAAACTGTTATTTAGAATGGCCACACCATTTTACATTCCTGCTAGCAATATTTAAGTGAACCATTTTCTCTACATTTTTTTATTTCATTTTTTTATCCATATTGATATTTGATGATACAAGTTACCAATATTGCCTTCAATAATGGGTGGCTGGCAGCCCATTGTAATCAAGCATGACTGCCTACATTTCCCATCTTGATCACTTAGAAAAGTTTCAAGACATCAAAGACAGGGAGACAGGGCTGGGGATGTGGCTCAAGCGGTAGCGCGCTCGCCTAGCATGCGTGCGGCCCGGGTTCGATCCTCAGCAGCACTACATACCAACAAAGATGTTGTGTCCGCCGAGAACTAAGAAAAAATAAATAAATGTTTAAAAATTCTCTCTCTCTCTCTGTCCCCCTCTCTCTCACTCTCTCTTTAAAAAAAAAAAAAAAAAGACAGGGAGACATAACTTTTGGAACTGTTTCTGAGGCATATTTATTCCTGCCTCACACTGCATACTCTATGCATATAATAGGTGATAGCTCAATCTTCACTGTATTACTCAATATCCATTGGGATAAAATATGTGTAATATATCTCCTTTCAAATTCCTTTTACTTTAATGTTAAAAGTTATATGCAAAAAAAGTTATATGCAAATGTCTTAGTATACTTTTCTAGCTTTTCTTATAAGTCATCTCAAAAAATAAGAACTAACATAGTTGAATGGAAATGGATTGTCACATTTAAGCCACCAAGCAAATATTGTACATTCAAACATGGGTTGCAATACTCTATGCCAAGCATTTCACCTCTTTCTTGTCTCCCTTTGGCCAGATGGAGTCTGTTGCTGACATTGGCCTTCAATACATAGGAGAACTAACAGTTGTTTTGCGATACATTCCTCCAGAGGATTACCTGATGCTTCCACATGGACAGCTTCAAGGTAGAGTAAAAATCAATGACTTTGATCAATGACATTCTATTTTTACAAATATGGAATGGCACTCAGGGATTGGTTGGGCTATGTTACTGTTACTTTTTTTTTTTTTTGGTACCTGGGATTGAAGTCAGGGGCACTTGGCCACTAAGCCACATCCCCAGACCTATTTTGTATTTTATTTAGAGACAGGGTCTCACTGAGTTGCTTAGTGCCTCGCTTTTGCTGAGGTTGGGTTTGAACTCACGATACTCCTGCCTCAGCTTCCCAAGCCACTGGGATTATAGGCTTGCACCATCTTGTCCAGATAGACTATGTTATTTTAATGCTAAACAGATGAAACTTAGAGTGAGGTGTTTCTGTCTTTTTAGGAGTGGCGAGAGTATATGGGATTCTTATAAGGAAAACAAGTTCATACTTAGAAACCATGTTGGATGATGAGCTTTATGTTCTGTTTCATTCTCAGAGATATAGGATCTTCCCCAGAGTGGGGGGATCTACTGGAAGGGGATATAAGAATGCTGTATGGATTTATGTCTTTCATAGCTACTCAGGGAGTCTTGAGGAAGAAGCTCACATACAACACAGAATGCAAAGAAAAAATCCAGATGGAGTTAATTTGTAAATCTCTCTTGCTCTTCTCCTTCCATCAACTCCACCAGGCAGCCTCCAATATCTTCCCATTCATGATCACCCTCTTCAATGTGTCCCTATACAAGGAGTGTACTGTCTCCTGGCCTTGGTTTTCTCACTTCAAAGGGTTGTTGAAACTATTTAATTGATAAAGATGGTGGTTGTTATTGCCGTTGTACATATTTCATCCCAATAACAATGTGAGGTAGGAGAGAATTTTCTCTCATTCAAAAATGTAATTGTAGCTGGGCTTGATGGCACATGCCTGTAATCCCAGTGGCTCAGGAGGCTAAGGCAGGAGGATTACAAATTTGAGGCCAGCCTTAGCACTTAGTGAGGCCCTAAGCAATTTGTGAGATCCTGTAGGGAAATAAAAAATAAAAAGGACTATGGATGTGGCTCAGTGGTTAAGCGTCCCTGAGTGCAATCCCTGGTACCCCCCCATAAAAAGTAATTGTTCCTGGCCTGCAGCCTCTAGAGCTGACCCTGCCTGAAGCTGACAATTTACAAAAAGAGAGTTATGGAATTTTCTCTTTTGGAGACTTGGTGCTTGTGTCTGGCTTTCATCATAGCTAATTCTCGTTATAATGGTGACTCTAGAAGCAGCTCTCAGGATCTTTTCTGTTCCCTTCTTTCAGATCCTGTGATAAGTATGCTTTGTAGGGGATTAGTTAAGTTTTGAAGTTTACTTGTTCACTTTCTTGCAACAAATACAAATGAAAGACCCATTTAGAAGGAATCAAATTTATTTCTTCCCACTTTTTTTTTTTTTTTTTTTTTTTTTTGGTACTGGGAAATGAACTCAGGGCCACTCAATCACTGGGTCCCACTGAGACGGGGTCTCATTGAGTTGCTTAGCACTTCACTTTTGCTGAGGCTGGTTCCAACTCACAATCCTCCTGCCTCAGTCTGCTGAGCTGCTGGGATTACAGGCGTGCACCACCACACCCAGCTTTTTTTTTTTTCCACATTTTTATTGGTACACTATAGTTGTACATATTGATTGGATTTGTTGTTACATATTCATACATGCACACAATACACAATACAACAATCTAGTATTATATATTAGTGATATGGGTCAATATCACTCCCAGCACTTCTTCCCTCCCTATGTCCCTTTCCTCTTCTGATCTACTTTTGATTTTTAGGAGATCCACCCCTATGTTTCTTTTCCATTTTCCTCTCTAGTTTCCATTTTTGAGAGAAAACATATGGCCCTTAAACTTCTGAGTTTGGCTTATCTCGCTTAACATTATATCTCTAATTCCATTCATTTTCCTGAAAATGACATAATTTCATTTTTCTTTATGACTAAAAAAAACCCCATTGTGTATATGTGCCCCATTTTCTTTATCCATTTGATGGACACCTAGACTGGTTCCACAATTTGACTATTGTGAATTGTGCTGGAATAAACATTGGTGTGCATGTATCACTGTAGTATGGTGATTTTAATTCTTAGGATAAATACCGAGGAGTGGTATATCTGGGTCATGTGGTGGTTCCATGCTTAGTCTTTTGAGGAACTTTCATATTAAGAATCCAATTTAAATAAATATAAAATATACAATAGCATAAACACCCCATTCAGTCAGCAAATGAAGTCAATGTTTGCAGATATTCTTTGCAAATTTTGAAGTGGAATCCATGATCATCATCTCTTCACCGCCCCCCCCCCCATCATTTTAGTGGCTGATGCAGGAAAGAAGACCTTTAAAAAGGGAAAGAAAAAGGAATCACCTGTAATGTCTGGAGGAATACTAGAAGTGTTCATCAAAGAAGCAAAGAATTTGACAGCGGTGAAATCAGGAGGCACCTCTGACAGCTTTGTGAAGGGGTAATTTTGTTTTAGTACATTTCTGATACTTGGGAGATGAAAAGATCTATGATCCACAAGACTGGTGGCTATGAGGCTTCCATGTTCCATTCCTAGGACAGGTCCTGAGGAAGAGCCAGCCACCCTAAGCGCTGGCTCTTATATCTAAAACAATAGGAATGTTGAGGGAGCCACTTCTTGAAGCTTACACTGTGTTTCCAGAATGTTTCAGGAGTTCCTGTCTCTCTCACCCTCAAGACCAGCAGATTTTCCTTTGGTATTCATTTCTTAAAGGAAGAAAAAGTATGATTTTCTGTGCATAATGTACTTTTATTATGGTTTGTTATTATTTGGTGCCATTATAAAACAACAAAAACCAAAATATTGGATACTTGCTATTTTGCTCTCTTGGGAAATTTTTTAAAGTAGACAAATCAGAGCATCTTCCTTGGAGATAGGCACTAGAGAGTGTTCTGGAGAGCCTCCAGGACCATCTGCTGAGCTAAGACGTGATGCTGGCTTTACAGAGAATCATAAAGCACATGAGGTAAAGAAAGTTCCTTTGCTGGCAGGCCACCAGGTTAATTCTTTGAGTCAGATGACAGTTTTTTCTTCTCATGCAGCCTTCTTAGAAATGTGTATTTTTCTTACAAGAAAATGAGTCATGCCTTTATCCTCAAATGTTCTTTTTGTTTTGTTTTGTTTTTTTGCCATGCTGGGGATTAAAACCAGGGCCTCACGCGTGCTAGGCAAACGCTCCACCACTGAGCTATCTGACCCCATCCCACAATTGCACATTGTGACTTTGGTAAAGCCAATAGCCAATAGTGAAGAGAAGCCAATGTCTGGGGCTTCCCCATTGGTGAACGTGAGTTCTTGTTCATCAGTTTTTCATTCTTTCTTGCAATAGATTGAAGCATAGAAGAAATACTTTTTTGGATCTTGAGGGTACAGTTTGTCTCACCAACCCCACCATCCACTTGTGGCCTCTGCTGCTCTCTGTCTTATGGGATAAGAGGATGGCTCCTGGCCCATGACCTCACTGTGACCTTACAGGGGTGACTTACTATCTTCTGGAACAGTTTTCACTTTCTCCTATTGAGAATTTATGAAACAGAAATAATAAAGGATAGCACTTTTGCTCTATTAAAAAAAAAAGTCTAACTTTCCAGTAAATTTTCTTCTTATTTGTACTTAAATATTAAGCTGATTTTAAAGGAAACTGACATTTTTAAGTTATTTATTTATTATATATGTATATATATATTTGGTAATGGGGACTGAATTCAAAGATACTTTACCATTTATCCCCAGCCCTTTTTATTTTTGATATAGAGACAGGGTCTTGCTAAGTTGTTTAGGGCCTCGTCAAGATGCTGAGGCTGGCCTTGAACTTGTGATTCTCCTGCCTCAGCTTCCCACATTGCTGGGATTACAGGCATGTGGCACTGCACCCAGCCCTAAAATTAAAAAATAAAAACAAACAAACATAAAATCAGAGAGAGAGAGAGAGAGAGAGAGAGAGAGAGAGAGAGAGAGAGAGAGAGAGAGAGAAAGCAAGAATAGACCTTTATGTAAGTTTAATATTCTAACATTTTAAAATTAAATAATTACTTAATTATATTAGTTTGTCAGTGAACTAAATTAACAGTGGCTTAAAAAAGACAAAAGTTTCTCTTTATTTCTCCTACATGTCAGAAAAGACTCAAGCTAATGTACCCATGGCAGGCATGGAAACATCATAATTATAAGTGACACAGTATTTTTTGTATCTCATTATGGTATTTACTTCTTGGGCCAGGATAGCTGTTCAGATTTCAGCTATCCCATCCCAATTCCAGCTGGTAGGATACTTCCTATAAGTTTCATACAAAACTATTTCATATGTCCCACTGGCCAGAACCTAGTCATGTTGTTGTACTAGCTACAAAGGGGCAGGGGGTGAGGGTGGAGGTAGTTTTTTTTTTTTTAAACCAGGGATTGAACCAAGGGGTGCTCAACCACTGAGCTACATCCCTAGCCATTTTTGTATTTTTTATTTAGAGACAGAGTCTCAGGGTCTCGCTAAGTCGTTCAGTTGCTGAGGCTGGCTTTGAACTTGCAATCCTCCTGCCTCAGCCTCCTGAGGTGCTGGGATTATATGCCTGTGTCATTACCTAGGTTAGAGGTAGTCTTTATTCTGGTCACACTTGTACCTCAAATTTTAAAGTGGGGATTTCTTTTAGAGGAATACATAGAGACTGAATGTTGTATGCCAACATGAATTCTCCGCATGGTACACAAAATGGCATTTTACATGATCTATTGTATCTTCTTTAATGTAAACTCACTTGCTAGTGCTACTTTTCATTATTGTCAGATACACTGATTCCATACACATATCAATCTCCTTCTCTAAAGCATGGTCCCTGAGGGAAAAAAAGTAGTATTCATCATGTACATAGAGCCTGGGACAGTTAACTATAGTAGAAAAGGCCTAAGCTCACATGTTTAATTGGACAAGAAGTTCCAAAAAGTACCAATGAGAGAGTGGAGAAGGTGAGATACAAGAGGGAGAAAGGTTGATTAAAAAAAATATATGTTTGGGGCTGGGGATGTGGCTCAAGTGGTAGTGCACTCGCCTGGTATGTGCGGGGTGCTGGGTTCGATCCTCAGCACCACATAAAAATAAAATAAAGATGTTGTGTCCACCAAAAACTAAAAAATAAATATTAAAAAATTCTCTCTCTCTCTCCTTTAAATAAAAAAAAAAAGGGTATGTTAATGGGCAAGTTAACATTATGGGTCACTAGGACTCAATTATACTAAGGAGGCAACAAGGAACTCTGTAAATGTTCCTTAGGGTTGTCCCTTCAAGGGATAAAGAATTTCCAAAACTCATTAATTGAGGATTGTTCCCAAAGGCATTGAATCACCAGTAATTCCAAGGTGCTGTCTACATAAGTTGAGCTCACATAGGAACAAAGTCTTAATTGGCAAAGTTGAGACACACAGATGCTCTATATGTAGAATTGAAAGTGTGTGCCAGGAACTGTCCATCCTGGCTATAAGTTAGCTCAGAGGTGACCCAAGAAAAGACAGAAAGGGCTTTTGGTAGTATTTATTAGAGGAGGTATTTCCTGTACAAGATGGGGAGAAGGACCAAAATAGGATTAGAAAAAAGAGAGGGGCGTATTACTACTGCCTCACTTAAAAGAAAACTAAGCAGCCATTCCACAATGCAAATCCAGATGTAAACATACGAGAACCTGGGAGAAGCCAGGCACAGTGACACATGCCTGTAATCCCAGTGACTCGAGAGACTGAAGCATGAGGATCACAAGTTCAAAGCCAGCCTCAGAACTTAGCAATGTTCTAAGCAACTCAGTGAGATCCAGTCTCTAAATAAAATACAAAAAAGGGCTGGGGATGTGGCTCAGTGATTGAGTTCCCTTGAGTTCAATCTCCCCAATACACACACAAAAGAAGAACCTGGGAGAGAAAGTCAAATACATATATCACATTTGTGTGCATGTGCACATATGCACACACATGCACACACACACATACATACACATACCAGGAATTACCCATAATTCAAATGATTACTTGAGCATATCCCACTGATGGTTTGATTGTGTTTTTTCCTACAGCTACCTGCTCCCTGATGACAACAAAGCCACAAAGCACAAAACTATGGTCGTAAAAAAGAGTGTTAATCCTCAGTGGAATCATACTTTCATGTTCAGTGGCCTGCATCCCCAGGATATAAAGAATGTTTGCCTAGAACTTACCATCTGGGACAAGGAGGCCTTTTCCAGCAACATCTTTCTAGGAGGAGTTCGTTTGAATTCTGGAAGTGGTGAGGAACTTGGGAACCCTGAGACAGTCTGTGGCTGAGCATGGCACAAGGGCATGATTTCTTTATGTATGAGGTGTAGTAAATGTTTATATAGTTTCAGCAATAACTGACCTGAAATTATCACAGACATTTCATTCCTTTAGCTAAAGATTTGCTCATTGATAAAATAGAACCATTACTCCTATAACTTCAGATCCTTAGGCTAGACGTTTGGGAGGTATAATGTTTATATTCATATTTATGTTGCTGGGCAAAGCAGTGGTGCATGCCTGTAATCCCAGAGGGTCATGGGGCTGAGACATGAGGAATGCACGTTCAAGCCAACCCCAGCAACTTAATGAGGCTCTAGGAAATTTAGTAAGACCCTGTCTCAAAACAAAAAGGGCTGGGGATGTCGTTCAGAGGTAAAGTACCCCTGGGTTAAATCTACAGTATAAAAAAATTTTTTTTTTCTTGGGTCTTACTTTAGGTTTTTCTTAGGAAAGACTGTTCAAGACAGCACAGGCTTCTTTTTTTATGGGGAAAGTACTGGGGATTGAACTCAGGGGCACTCAACCACTGAGCCCCATCCCCAGCCCTATTTTGTATTTTATTTAGAGACAGGGTCTCACTGAGTTGCTTAGCACCTTGCTGTTGCTGAGGCTGGTTTTGAACTCACGATCCTCCTGCCTCAGCCTCTGGAGCTGCTGGGATTACAGGTGTGCACAGCACAGGCTTTTGATAGTGAAGACAGGACCTTCAAGGCCAAGTTTACCTAATCCTCTTCTCTGTTCTGTCTAGCACTTGCAGCCATTATTCATACTGGTAGAATTGAAACAAAACCAATTGTTTTCTCTAAGAAATAATAACTAGTGCTGTTTATACAGGTCATGGAAACACACCACTGGTGCCACAAGATGGAACTATAACAGGGTGTATTGGGGGAGGGGCACATTCTAGTATTTGAGCATGTGAGCATTAGCAGAGCATATGCAGTCCCCCAAACCCTCCTTATCCCATTGCTTAGACAGACATATATGTTCTGCACTATTATTTCTGTTGAGCTTTCTCCCCCACCCCCTATAATGCTTTACTTATTTGTAGATTAATTAGATCTAAGGATATCTATGCCACTCTGATCAGAGAAGTGATCGTGTTAGAAAGAGAGCTGAAGTCAGCTTATTCTGTCATGTTAACTGGGTCCCAGTGAGCCAGCTCTCCATGGAACTACCAAAGTGGAGAGTTAAATGAACTACCAGAGCTGGCCTGATTGGTCTCACATTGTCTAAGCAGAAAAAAGTAGTGCAGCCGCAAAGGACTGATTCCATTCTGACAGGGCTCACTAGATGGGGAAGTGGTAACAAGCCAGAGAAGGGCTCTCTCATTAAAAGGCTCCCTCACTGGCTGATAGGTGCCTTTCAGAAGGTGAATATATCTCATCTGTGAAATGTAACGCTCCCCTTTCCCTTCTTCAGGTGTGAGCCATGGGAAGAATGTGGATTGGATGGACTCTCAGGGGGAAGAGCAACGCCTTTGGCAAAAGATGGCAGACAACCCTGGAACCCCTGTGGAGGGGATACTCATGCTCCGTTCCAGCATGGGGAAGTGTAGGCTCTGAAGGAAGCAGTTCTTCAAGGATAACTGGGGATTGTCTGTCTGGCTGCCATTTCCTACCAGTAGTCCAAGTCTAGGACCTTGGACTCTGTTTCCCTGCCATTTTTCACCTGAGGGTATTGGGACAGGAAGGGAGAGATGTCAGTGTTATGAACACTCAGGATCTTGCTGAGTGCCAAAAAAAAAAAAAAAAAGAAAAGAAAAAAAAAAAACCATGCACTTCTGTTTGTCCATGGACCAGAGCCTCCTTGATTAGATAATAGAAAGTATACCACACTGTCCTGTCAATAAGCAAATTGTGTAGTGGTTCAAAGGCTTTATATGGTAACAGAAATGGCACAAGCTTATTTAAAGCAATTAGAGATTGGAGTCTCCAATCTTTTTCTGAGTTACTTTAGGTTTTCTCAAATAGTTGGAGCAGAAAGGAAACCACTAAGAAGGCAGATCGTTTGAAGAGTTAAAAGCAGGCATACTGGCCACCCTTTGCTCACCTTAGGAATTCCTGAGATCCAAAGAAGGAGCGATGGGGGATGGTTTCCCGGATAAGGGCTGTTCCTGTTATGGTAGCAAACTTAAATTGAGCAGGCAGTGTTTCAAGATGGACTGACAGGGTTTGCTCTGGTGACTATAGCATTCATCTTCTAAATCAGCCTACTTTTGACAGAAGAGAGCTCAGTAATTATATCACCACAACAGATCACAACAGATGTAGACTAGAATGGACCTGGGTAAACTGGGATATATAGGGTCACCCTACTGATGACCTAACTATTAACTCTGTTATAAACATTTATTTTTAGAAATGTTCTAAGCCATTAACTAAAAAGGAATAAGAAAAAAAAAAGGGCAATCAATACATCTTTTCACATTTTGTTCATTGAGACAAGTTTAAAGTTTAATGCTGCTATTTCATTTCTGCCTCTCTGTTTTTTTTTTTTTTGTTGTTTTTTTTTTGGTACCAAGGATTAAATCCAGGGTCATTTAACCACTGAGCCACATCCCCAGCCCTTTTTTCATTTTTTATTTAGAGACAGGGTCTCACTGAATGGCTTAAGGCCTCACTAAGTTGCTGAGGCTGGCTTTGAACTCAGTGATCCTCCTGCCTCAGCCTCCGGGGCCACTGGAATTTCAGGCGTGGGCCACTGCACCTGGCTCATTTCTATACTAATATAGGAGTCAGAGACTATTTGTTCTCTCCCTTTTATGTTTCCCTCCCCCAAGTTCTCATTAGCTCTTTTGATAGTGGTTAGCTATGGTCATAATATTGCTGAATGAAAACTATGCCAAATGTCAGTGACTGAAAACAACAACCTCTTTTTTCCTCATAGTTATGTAGCCTGCCTAGGGCAGCTCTGCTTCCTGCTACAGGCCTGAGAGTCTAGGTCTGCAGCTTGTATCTGTTTCTTGGATGAAACAGAATGAGCGCCACTGCTCAACTACATTTAGATCGCCTGCTTGTGTCATGTCTCATTGGTCAAAGGAAATCCATATGGCCAAGCCCAAAAGTCAGGAGGCAAGGAAATATACTTTGCCCACATTGAAGCCATGATAAGAATGAGCATGCAGGAAGGGATACAAAAATTGGGGCCAATAATTCAATTTGTTGTATCTTCTTTACCTGGAATTCCAGATACTTGAGTCACCAAACTTAGATTCAAAGGTAGTTATAGCTAATTCTAATTCAGGCCTGGTTCTTCATTTTGAGAATTCTAAATCTGAAGCCCAGTGAGCTGAGATGACTTGCCCAAGGTCATGGGGAGGCTGTGGCAGAATCTGAACTTCAATCTTAGGCCAGTGTTTGTCCCATTGCAGTCCTTGACATGATTCTATGCTTATTAAGGTGGACACAGGGCATATATCAAGGAAGATAGGTGAGAGTCCGATTACTTGCGCATGAAATGCATGACCTAGGAATGTTCTGGAGCCATAGTCTGGCTCCTCAGCTCATTTTCTCACTTGAATACATATAAAATCCTTAAAAGTATAGAAGGGCTGGGGTTGTGGCTCAGTGGTAGAGCGCTTGCCTTGCATGTGTGAAGCCCTAGGTTCGATCCTCAGCACCACATAAAAAAATAAATTAATTAAATAAATAAAGGTATCATGTCCATCTACAATTTAAAAATATTAAAAAAAGATTAAAAGGTATAGGAACTGAATTTTAATAGTAGGAGAACCAGAATCATGTTCAGGTTTCTTCTGGACAGTTGTTCTATTATTTTTAGACTGCCTCTTGAACTTTGAAAATTGATTGAAGAATTTATGTAGTATTATTCTTCACAAAGGAATTAATAATCCATTTTCAATATTGTTCAAAAATAGGCCATCTAATTCTAGAAAACTGACGTATTTAGTCTAGCATCACTTAGAAAGTACGGTACTTTAAAAAACCACACTCATATCTTCATGTTGCCTTTTTTAAAAGCAGAAAACAAAAGGTAGATGATCATCACTACTTCCCACAGAAGAAAAAAATTGTCTTCAGACTTGATGTGACTCATTCTGTCTTCAGTGACATTTTTAGGGGAAGTAGTGATGAAGTCTAGAGATATCTCTGAAGTAGATACAACAAAGTAGATTTATTCACTAATAATAAATGTGGCAAAATAATAAATCCCCAAATTTATAACTTGAATTCAAGAAGAACATGAAATTTATATGTTCAGAACTTTGCTGCATTTTGAGCAATTCTCTGTATCATGGTTTCATAAAATCCAACACCTAACTGGATATCTATTAGACAAAAACCCAGATATGCAAAAGTCTATCAGAAACCTCATTTACCAAGTTGAGATAAAATAATAATTCAAAACATAGGTAATACTTATGAATGGCACAGATTCCAATAGTTCAAAATTGTGATAGAAATATATATATCAACCGCCTTGTTCTTTTTTATAGCTACCAGGTATCACACTATTGGAATATTTATTTAACCAGGCCTGTCAAATGCCATGTTAAATATGGCTAACTAAGCCATCTGTGCTTAATGGCTTCTCTAAGCAATGTTTGCTTTAAAAATAAACACTCTGAAATTCAAAATGAGATATGTATTTTTTCCAGAAATTCCATTTCTGGGCATATATCCTAAAGAGATAGGTGCATATGTGAGAAATAAGTACATATAAGGGCATTTATTGCAAGAGATTGGAAACAGCCCAAAAGCCATAAGTCATAAATGCCTGCTCCAGACGCTCTCATGCAAGCCCAATCCAATGATATGACCCACCTGCTATGACTTTAAGATCAATTTTACTTAGCAACTGTCATTGCTTACCAATCAGAGCTTGCCTGCTCCCTAAAGTCATTGCCAGCACCTATGAACTTGCTTCCAAAATAATTTGTGTAATCCCCTCTCTCCAATAAAACCTTAATCTTTTACTTAATTCTCTGGCCATACCAGAGATTGTTTCAGTCTTATGTCTGATTGTAATCCTGTGTTTTATTCCCAAATAAAATCTTTTTCTTGGAAATTTGTTGCTGTATTTGTATTTGACTTTGACAAACCAGATCCATTTGCTTCTATGACACCAGGATAGTTTGTGTTTGAAACACGTTCAAAACTGAATTCTGAGTTCTTCGTCCCACCATTTCTCTCACACCATGTCTTCCTCCTCCAATGCTCCTTGTCTCATTACTTGGTCCCATCATCCAACCAATTTCGGTAACTAGGCACTTAGTAGTAAACTTTGATTTCTGTCTCTCCCTTGCTCTGAGGCAAAATCCAATCAGGAAATCATATTAATTCTGTCTTCTCAATATCTCTAGAGCCTATGAAAGTCTCCTTTCTCTGTGGCAAGCCACCATTACTCCATTCCAAAATTATTTCAATGGTGTCCTTGCTGTGATCTGGGCAACCACTCTTTTTTCTTTTGTTTGTGTGTGTTTTTGCAAGAGTGGGGGATGTCATGGTACTGGGAATTGAACCCAGGACCTTGTACATTCTAGGCAAGCACTCTACCAACTGAACTATATCCACAGCCCCTGGGCAACCACTCTTGTCCTCCCTCCATCCATCCTCCACACATTAGATAGAATGATTTGTCCCAAAATGTTATTTAACATGTTCAAACATACAGAAAAGTTGAAAGAATTTCATGGCGAACACACTTAGACCCATCACCTATATTCACCATCTACCATTTGCCCATCATGATAAATCTCTCTCTCCATCCCCAGAGTGATCTTTAAAACCTTCCACAGCTTTCCATTGTCTTGATTATAAAACACAGATTCTTGTTCATAGCCCTGCATAAGGCGGCCACCGCTGGGGCTGGGGCTGTAGCTCAGTGGCCCAGCACTTGCCTATCATGTATGAGGCACTGGGTTGGATCCTCAGCACCACATAAAAATAAACAAACAAACAAAATAAAGGCATTCTGTCCATCTACAACTACAAAAAAAAAAAAAAAAAAAAAAGGCCACTGCCTCATTCTGGCTGTCTTCCCTCCCTTTCTCCTTGGACACACAGTGCTTGACCTGCTTGTCCACAGTGCCAGGCTGTAGCCCACTTCACGGTCTTTGCTAGGCAACCTCTTAGTCCTTTTCCTCACCAGCCTGCTTCCCATTAATCATCCGGGTCTTAAATGTTACATCCTCTGAAAAACCTCCCCTGATCCTCCGCTGAACTAGGTCACAGCAGTCTGCCTCTATTTCCCCTTCACTGCACACATGGCAATTATAATAAATTATTCATGTAATGAGTCCTTTAATGTCTGTATCTATTCCCTCCCCACCATGTAAGATTCATAAGGGTAGAAACACTATTTTTTTTCACAGCTACATCCCCAACACTTGTCTCAGAGTAGGTAATCAAAAAAAATTTTGTGAAATAAATTTTGAAAAGAAAGCATGATATAACATCGGAGAATGTTAGAACAATAGGCATCTTTAAAGACCACCTACTCAGCCCACCCTCCCTTGCTGGGGATCAAACAAGGCCACACTCTTAACAAGCAAGCCTACTTTACCCCTGAACCACACCCCTAGTCCAAGACCATCATTTCTAACTCCCAATTGACAGGAGTCACACAGATCAAGAAAAATCTCTGAATATGCTAACTGATTGGTATTTTCAAAGTAACCTTTGTAAGTTAATAATAATGTACATTTCAAAACAGTTAAAAGAGATTTTAAATTGTTGTCACCACAAAGAAATGATAACCATTCAAAGTCATAGATATGCAACATAGCCTGATTCAATTGTTCTGCAATGTGTACACATAAAAAAACCATCAGATTGTACCTCCCTAAATGTATACAATCATTATTTGTCAATTAAAAACAAAATAAAGGCAAACTTTCTGCAAGGACTGTAATTACAACCCTAGACTGTTGGTTCCAGCATTCCACTTATTGGAAGAAGAGATCATGGCCCTGCCTGGAATATTCCATTCCTTATTTGGAGATATTGAGTCTCATTTTTTCCCCTCAGATGAATCAAACAAGTTGTAGAGTCATAGGTAAACAGAAAAGCCTGACTGTATCCACCCAGTATATAAATAACACCTGCAAGACACAGAGGATTCGGGTAATCAGCTCGTTTCACTTATGTTGCTGCTGTCATTGGACTTACTCATCAGGATGTAGATTTTCTAGATCATAAAAACAAAGATATTTTGATGGAACTTCATATACTTCCCTTTCCTTAAGAAAGGAACACAAGGGGCTGGGGTTGTAGCTAATAGATATGGAAAATGAAGAATCTCCAAAATAATGTAGCCTGAGAAAAGGGGAGTAAAAAGAAAGCCAAGCACTGACAGCTTTCATTTCCCAAGACAAATGTTTCCCTGATGTTAATTGCAGGCAGGAAGGAGGTGTCTCATCACACTAAGGTTATAGCCTCTCACGGGTATTGACCTTCCTTTGAGTAAATCCTCTCCAGATGTGGATCATAGACCCTGACCCAAGAGCTCAAATTCCTCAGCACTCAAACTCACCCCTTCACGGATTGTTAGAACAAACCTCAAATTTCTGGGTGCCCAAGAAAACTGATATGCTCACTAGACCACCTCTCAGGATAACCTATATAAGCCCAGGCCCTTCCTTTGTTCGTGGGCTCATTTTCCACCAGGAAAGTGGGTCCCACAGCATCATTTCATCCCTGCATCCCCTGCTCCTAAGTGAAACTTGTTCCTGAATAAAGTGCTGAGCTGATTTGTGAAGTTTGCATTCTTCCAGGTGTTTGGGGGCTAACAGTGGCTCAGTGGTAGAGCACTTGTCTAGCATGTGTGAGGCCCTGGGTTCGAGCCTTAGTACCACATAAAAATAAATAAATAAATAAAATAAAGGTATTGTGTCCAACTACAACTAAAAATAAAAACAAGAAAGGAACACAAATACGTAAGTAAAAATCATTAGAATGAATTGAGCCCAGATTCACAGTAATATTAATCTCATTATCACATGCCAAGGTTTAACAGTCAGTAGAGGAGAAGGAGAAGGCCATGTGAGAAATAAGGGGAAACCCTTTCTTTTAAAGCAAAGTGGAGAGAAATGTCAAGTTTTAGAAGGCCCGGAGAGTGAGAACCTATAATGTGTTGGGTGTGATCAGTGTTTTTTTTTTTTCCCCATGTACATATTTCACATTAAACTGAATATTGCTTCTAGGAATTAGCAGGAGAATTTTCCTCCTACAGTAGTGTCTTTTGAAATTAAAGAAAAGCAACAGTAAAAAAAAGTCTACACTGGCAAGGTTATAACCAAAATTAGATCTGACAAGGTTTGAACAATAGCTAGGAAAATTGTGCCACATCAAAAATTCCAAAAGATTGTGTGAATCACCTGAAGTATGAATTTAACATATCGATTCCAGAGCACTGCTCCAAACTTATTAGACAAAATCTTCAGAAATTCCAATAATTTTTATCAAACTTCTGTGGTTCTAATACAAGTGGATTACACTTTAAGAAACACTGTATTAGAGGACAAATGATCTCAACTATATAATTTGGACCAGCTCTATGTCATGATGGTTGCTTGGATTTGGCCTTGGAATAATCTCCCTTTTCAATAATCCAAAGATTATCAACTGCAAGGCAATTACAATGAGGTGGAAAGAACCTAACCTTAGTCTCAGAAGACATTAGCTCAAATCTCAACTATTTATCAACCATGTGAACTCAGCAAGTTAATTATCCAATCTAGGCCTTGGCCTATTTGATTAGAAAATAGGAATTATAAGGCTATCTTGGAGTAATTGAAGATATCAAATGAGATAATATGTGTAAATATGCTTTGTAAATTTTAACCACTTTTTAAAAATTGAATTATCTGTAGTGCTACGTGGTTCATAATCTGTTTAGGGACCTGTTTTACCTGATAGGTTGGTTAGGGCTTAAACATTCTATATATTTCATGGTATATCTCACAATGACTCTTTCTATGACCCATCCCCTCTCCCCCATATCAGGGAGATGAAACCTGCCTTTCTCATGGGAATGTTGTTCAAAATCATGCTTTTTATCTACAGAAACAAAATTACAATGAAGTATATAGAATACTCCAGAATCACACACACACACACACACACACAGCTTTACCCATTGTGGCTGATGCTCTAGTTTGTATCTTAAATGACCTCCAAAAACCCATGTGTTAAAGGTTTAGGCCCCAGGTTGACACTATCAGGAGGTGGTGGAAACTAAAACAGGTATGTCACTGGGGATTTGCCCTTGAAGGAGATATTGGGACCTTGGCCCCTTCCTTTCTCTCATTCCTATCCCAGCCATGAGGTGAACACTTTTGCCACACACTCCTGCCATGATGTGTCACCCCCACTCTACTAGAAGCCCAAAAGCAACAGGGCAACTGACCATGGACTTAAACCTCCAAAACTGTGAGCCCAAACAAGTTTTTTCTCTTTGTAAGTTGATTTATTACAAATATTTGTTATCGTAATAAAAAGCTAACATAGGTGATAAGTATTTATTTTTAGGCTAGAATTTCATACTTCAACAGATTAGCTAGTGAGTATTACAGAAGATGTTTAATTTGATGGAGACCAAAACTGTATAAATATGTAACAATAAATTCCACTAATTATAATGCACTTATGAAAAAATACAAAGTAAATGGCAATATTAGCATTAAAAGGTTCTTCCCATCAAAACAAAGCTGTGGTCGGCTCTTTGTCAACAGGTTGCAGAATTTACAAGCAAACCATCTTCTCTGCTCTTTCCTAAAATCCTCTTCTAGAGGAATGACTATCTCTTTCTATGACCCATCCCCTCTCCCCCACAGCAGGGAGATGAAACCTGCCTTTCTCACAGGAATGTTGTTCAAAATCATGCTTTTTATCTACAGAAACAAAATTACTATTCTGTCAAAACAAATTCCATAGAAACACAAACTACTATTGTCACTATGAGTAATTCATACTGTTTCAAAGATTATCAATTGTACCTCACTAGAATTCATCAGACAATTTTTTGGGGGGGATCTTTTCATACTTGAAAAAGGAAAATACAATATA